GATGCGCCGCCTCAAATTCGCCCACGCGTGCAAGGGTCTGGACGCGTTTTGAGAGAAAACCAAACAATTTCTCATGATTGATGCCGGTTTTCGAAAAGGCGCTGATGATGTTTGCGACGCCCTTTGAATCCAAATACTTCGCATTCCGGGCGGCCTTCTGTGCCTGCATTTCAATCACCTCACGGGCATCGCGTGACTTCAGGGTAGCGCAGGCGGTGACGACAATCGGCAGGACATCGACGGTGATAAGTTTGTCATTCTTCAGGCAGTAGTCGATGCACTCACGTACGAGCTTCGCGTCACTCTCCATACCAAAGTACACGGCGGTGTTAAGAAGCAGCGCGACGGAGCGGGCGTCAAGACTTTGGCCGGCGATGGATGTGGCGAAAAGGACACGGCGTGCCTGCTGCGCCAGCATCGGGTTGCCGCCCCGTTCTTGATGTAATTTCTTCATCTGCAGCGCCTCCATCGCAATGTTGCGTGCGGAGAGCTGCGAGCCGCCCTGCGGATCACTCGGCAATGACAACTCCCCGCCGTGAATGGTGCCGATAAGTGAATTGCTCTGGCAGCGCACACCGAAAAGAAGCGCAGCAGCGGCAGCATTATTGGTGGTGTTAGTGGTGGCAACAACACGCTGCCGCAGATGATGATTATGATGCAGGCAAGTTCGCAGAATGCACCTCATCCTTCCTATCTAAAAAAAAAAAAAAAAAAAAAAAGATGTATCGTTGTTGTTGCTGTTGTTGCTTGTGGTGATGATAGTGGCGGTGGTGGTGCTTTTTTCTTTGTTTCCCCCCCCCCCCCGTCTTCTCGCACTGTGAAATGGAGGGAAGAAAAAAAAAAGAAGAGACATAAAAGAAATAGATAAAGAGAGAGAGAGAGAGAGAGAAAGAGAGAAAGAAAGGTCCATAAATAATAGAAAGACACATCCCCCTCCCTTCCTCCCACTCTTTTTCTCTTTTTTTCTCTTTTTTTCTTTTTTTTTAACACATGCACACACACACACACACAGAGAGAGACAGACAGACAGATATATATTTATATACGCCATGTCGTGACGTGCGTCTGTCGGCGTACGACATGTACGATACGTAATGACGTGTGGACGCCGAAGAGGGAGAGACAAATAAAGGATGTCTGCATGTGTGTATTCTACCACTTCATGGGAGAGTCGCTGCTGATTCCGCTGCTGCTGCTGCTGCTGCTGCATCCACACTTTTTGCGCGAAACACGGCGCAGTGAAACGGTGTAACGTACAACTCCTTCGGTATCCGCTGCAGAATTCGGTTCTCGCGACTGAGTTTCGTAATCGCGTCATTTGTTTCTTCGCAGCGTACCATAAATCCCTCTGTTTCAGGGAATAGGCGCTTCAGTTCCAGTTGCGACAAGGCAAAAGGCGGCCCACGTACCGTGTTGCCATGTACTCTGCCGGTGCGGAATATGCCCTCAACGTACATCACCCCATCCTCTGCAAGGGCCTGTCTCATTAAATAGGCGTAATCCTCACGCTGTTCGCGATTCAGGGATGTCATCGCCTGTCGCTCGTAGATGACATCAAACTTCACGTCCCGCAGTGGGCCTTGCCAGAGCTCCGGAGCGAATATGTCGCGCCAGTGCAGGTGAATACGTTTGTACACGTCGACTTCGAGTGCACGTTCGGTGCGTTCTACGCATGCCCGTATCGCCGTCTCGGATGCATCCACGGCGTCCACCTCAAACCCGCGCACCGCGAGTTCCTTCACGATTGGTGAATCCCCGCAGAGAGGCACGAGAGCGCGAGGCCGCCGTTTGCGATCTCGTCCGCGCTTAAAGGTGTTGCCGTCGTACATGTCCCGCCCAGTCACAGCACGCACAAAGTCAAATGGGCCGCGGTAAAACGTGCTTGCCGACTCACCAGCACGCCACAGCGGGTTGCCTTTGCGCCACTCGTTCTCCCACCACACCGGGGATGTGTGCGGCATGGCGGACGGTGGCAACGGCACAAACTTGTAACCGAGCATCTCACGGTATTCGTCCACAAGCCACGGGCCAATGAAGACAGCTGCACCAAGCAGAATACCGCCCACGACGATCCAGCCCTGCAGACGACTGGCGGTGATGGCGTGGGGCACCCAACTACGCCTTTTAACATCGCCATACCTCTTACGAAAGCGGTTTAGGAGGATTTGGCCTTCAAGCTCGTCGCCGGACGGAAGCGAAAAGCTGATGCGGCGCAACACACAACGCTGCATTCACAACACGTACGTTTTAACTACTTCTCACCACCAGTAAATAATAACCCAGACCTCCCACCCTCCCCCTCCTCCGCCGGTGTGTGGTGGCGGCGCCAGAATTGAAATGAAAGGGAGAAAAAAGGGCCATAATTATTTTTTTTTTTTTTTGTGTGTGTGTGTAATGCAATGGAGTGAAAAGAAAAAATAAGCAAATAAGTGGAAGGGCGGTGCGGTGCAGGGTCCAAACTGCATTTAAAACATTTACCCCCCTCCTTCTCTTTCCAATCGCATCCCCCAATTTTTTTTTTCGTTGCTGTTCCGTTTTTTCTTTTTTTCCAATCATTATTAATTCCTGCTGTGGGTGTTCTCGTTATCATCATCAGCATCATCGCACCCCCAACCATCATCTCATATTTACGTTAGCGAAGCGCGGCAGGGACACACTGCGCCAGGGCGAGCAGCACATAAATGTTGGCGTGGAACTCATGGAATGCCTTCCCGAGTCTCACGCCTACCATGCCATCCTCCTTGTGAAGTATATTCTGGTGGATGCATGCCGTGTAGTCGTAGGTGATGACAACATCCCGCAGTGCAGCTGCCATTCCAGGCACCTCCATCACCTCCAACGCATCCCTCTCAGCCTCGTCAATACACCACGCCTCGCCATCGTGCAATTTGTCGCCCAATGAAGGATGCACACGCAACAGGCACTGCTTGAACTCTGCCAGAGCAGTGGGAAGGGCATGATCTATATGGCGTCGATTGCTAAGCGTCGTTAGAGTCGAAAGCATACTGCGGTCGGCACGCAGCACAATGCCGCGCAGCATCGCAAGGGCCTCCAGAACACCCTCGTGTTCCTGACGAATAGCGAGAGAAGAACAGAAACGCGACGATGGTGATGCTGGCGGGGTGGTAGCGCCAGCAGAAAACACATCCAGAGCAGTAGTAGTAGCAGTAGGCATGGAGGTGGTGTGGGCAGCCCCCTCCAGACAACTCGACAGTGACAATGGCGGGGGTACACGCCGGAATGTCTTAGGGCCGCGTAGCTCAACGCCGGTGTGAAGTTTAATAAAAGGACGAGTTGTCGCCTTCGGTTTTGCTTTCGTGAACGAAGACGACGAGGTAAGAAGCAACGGCGATGACAGCCGGTGGGACCCAAACCGCGCTGCAGAGGATTCTTGTCTTCGCTGTGCAGCGATTGGAGTGCGGCTCGCCCCACGACTCATGCAGGACGCCACGGAAAAGACACGCGGCCCAGGTGACATCACATGCTCAGTAGAAACAGCAGCAGCCGTAGCGGTGTATATACACGGTGACGGAGATGACAGCACCCGCCGCTTCTCCTGCGTCAATCTCGTTACCCCTGATTTTGTCGACTCCGCCATGCATGTCGCGAGGGACTCGCCGCTGTTTCTTTTTTTTTTCTTCAGGCCAACACGCTCCAGGGCCTCGCTGCCTCCCCGCAGACTGAGCAGCAGACGACGCAATCGCAGGACTTCGGCTTTCAGCTCAATGACTTTCTGCAGACGGAACTCCGCAAGGCGATTGGCGCCGTCTAACTCAACCCGCAGCGCCCTGCCGCCGCCTGCAGCATCCATTTGCACAGGCCCAAGGATGCACAAAGGGAGAATTCCACTACACGACGACGGCAGCGGTAAAAGACGGGGTCCAAAGCCATTGGTGAACGAGAAGCAACAAAAAAAAAAAAAAAAAGAGGAGGTTTCGGTGAGAAGTGGAACCAGTCAAACCTAAAAAAACACAAAAGTGAAAAAGAAATACAAAACACAAAAGCTCAGTAATAGAAGGAGAGAGGAGGAGAAGAAGAAGAGCAGACATGCAGGCATCAGTCAAATGAACACACGGCAGGGTGTCAGGCCGCCTGCAGGAGCGACAGCACCTCGGCTCGCGTGATGGTCATTTCCATTCCCGCATACAAAGGCCAACGAAGCAATGTCTCCAAGAATTCAATCTTCTGCAGGAGTAATGTGGAGAAATGCTGCCAGACATGCTGCAGAAGTGCGCAATGAAACAATTTTTCCTCCTTTCGATCCGCAACATCGCGAAGAAAATGTTTTTTCATGCGACGAGAGCTGGACGAAATGCCGCTACGCACCTCCCGCGGTAAACATTGTAGAATACGGCCCATGGCCTCAACTGAGAGAGCGTTATGGTGCCGCAGCTCCTCGCGCGAGTGAGACTGGGCGAGGTCCTCGGCGACAAGCGCAAAGTTGCCAAACTCTGGAAAGTCCTTCACAAGTAGAATACGAGTGAGGTAAACCTCCTCGTAATGATCCCGTAGTCTTCGTGACGACTCGTATCGCTCCCGTAAGAGCTCTACAGCGTACGCGGTGGATGGCAAGGAGGTATAAAAGGTACAGAAAAATGCATGGTGGCGGTATTGTTGAATAATACCACGTTTGACGGGGTTGTTGTCAAGGCCCTCAAGCCAACTACTCGCCCGTTTTTCAATGGACTCAATAAAACTTAACTTTTTCTCCCTGCGTGGCTCTGTGCCGCCAAAGTTTGTGATGTAATTAAGTGCCTCAAATGTCTGATCCACAAAACTCAGAGTAATCGATGCATACTTGCTGCGGTTACAGACGGCAGGTGGCAGGGCGTTATGTACGGTCTCCATGTGGTGTATAAAAACAGGCAGTTTTGTAAAGCAACTTAACATCCCGCGGGGGTCCACCACGTGACGTTTTCGACAGGTGGCAATCGAGGTGGTTTGCTCCGCGATGCTCCTTGAAATGGTAGAGGAGACGACATGCTCCAGAGCCTGAAGCAAAATCTGGCAGAAGGAACTTTCTGCAGTCGGGGTCCCGTCACGACGATATGCACCCAGCATGGCCATAACCGGTACGGCATACAGTCGATCACACTTTTCCCCGCAGTACTCTGCAATTCCCACAAGTTGTCTTAATAAATAACATCCCTTTTCTGCCTGTACGGCGTTATTTCCGATAGTACTACTGCAACTGTGTTTGTTGTTGTTGTTTTTGTTTACACCAATCAATCCCACATCGCCATCTTGCGGCCAGGAATAAGAAGAAGAAGAAGCGCCCGCTTTGCTGGGCGGAAACTGCACTAACTTGTCGCCACCAAACAACTCCAGCAAGGACTCGTTCAATAACTTCGCTGGATTTTCCTCACATGCCAGTAAAGGATCATCATCGAAGGGTCTTGATAAACCACTCGTGTCATCCTCCGTTGGGGCCTTCTCTATAATCCCAAAACACTGCTGTAAAGTTTCCTTCTCCTGTAGAACAACAGAAAACGTGGTCTCAAGCACCATAGCAAGAGCTAAATCGGGCCGGAGTTTGCCAGCAAAAGTGCCCGTCCATCCAGATGCCAAGGAAGTGAAAGAATAAGAAGTGGCAGCAGCAGGAATAGCATTGGGAGTTGTCCCAGGAGTAGCGGCAGAAGTGGCAGCATCTGCACGGACGTTCGCCACATCGTAAAGTCGCAACCCTTCTTCTCGAGCTGTAGGCAACTCAAGGCATAATGTTCCATCTTCGCCACCATCTCCCTCGCCAGTATGTGGTGTGAGTGTCCAACTTGCAGCTGGTGTGGAAGCCACGCTGCTACCAACGCCCCACAATCGTCGCGGCGTCTCTCCCCCTGCTGCTGTTGTTATTGTTGCTGTCTCCATCCGGCTGTTAAGTGCCTCATCCATGGAATAATCCCGTGTGCCAAGAAGAAACGGGCCACGGGAGCCAACCTTCTTCACATGCGTCCGCATGTGTTTAAAAAATTTGTGCATTTCCAAAGCGTAAATGCGTTGCATACTCACACGATAACGACGAAGCACGGCAATATAACCTTCTAGATCAATGTACAGCAGCGCTGTAATTACATCACGGATATTTGCTAATTGTGCCATTAATTCCGAGTGTATCCGCCATACAAGCTGTCCCTTACTGCTGTAACGTGTGCGGTCTGCAAGATATGTCGTCTCGTACTTCCCAATTGTAGCAAGAATATACGCCTTTGAACGGTGAGCAATCATACGACGTTGCTCAATGAAAAATGCACGACGCTCCGTCACGGCTGTTATAGGATAATCCGTCCCTAATTTTTTATTCTGCAACAGAGATCGCATGTGTTTCATGGCGACCGACAACACCTGTGCATTGTTCCCTTCCGCAAAGAAATCCACCAAATCCTCATCTTTCACGCTCGCAAGACGCAATAATAATGCAGTCGTTTGAGGCGGAAGGCTCAATTGACCGCATAAACCCTCAAGATGTTCATGTAACTTTCGTAAATTCCGTTGTTTACGCTGCAATGTGTTGCTCTGATGCTCAATACGTTGTAATTGCTCCTTCTTGGACAGAATTTGCCGTGAGTACTGTGCAATACGGGACTCAAGCTCCTCTACATCACCAACGAGCTCAACAATGCGGGAGCGCACTACCTCCCATGCACCAACGGACGCCAGAAGTACCTCCACAGACGACAACTCCGCCTCCTTCTGCCGCATGGACAGGGACTTCTCTGTGCTTCGTATGTCATCAAAACCGTGTCGCCCAAGAAAATGCTGCAGCCGCTGCTCATCCTCCGCGGTCAGAGCACGGCGTTTCTCATGCCGCAGACTCTTCACACGAGCCGCAGCGTCCGCCTCCACCTCGGCGCCCAGTGCATCGGTCAACAATGCCCGCACATCCCTCGAGACGGTCGTTACATTTGGCTGCAGGTCACGCTGCACTTTACGAACGGCCGCAACGAACATCTCCCGTTGAATGTGTGACTCGAAGGCAACGGATATCATGCCACTCCCGCCAAAATTAAAAGTAGCGTCAAAGCTGCCGTCATGGCTCACATCCACAAGGCGTGCCACAACAAACACTAACTTCACCTTCACCACACGCCCTGATTCCACTCGCACAACATTCAATGTTGTCTGCGATACAGACGATGGAGACGATGGCGTGGAAGGTGCAAAGGGACGGCACAACGCCAGTAGACGTGCCTTCGATCCCTTATTGGACGCCCCACGCCCAATAACGACAACACTCTCACATGTCAACACCTCCTCGTGGCGCTGCCGAAATACAAGCTCCACAAGCGACCGCAACTCATCCCCCGTTGTGGCCATTTGTTCGCACGCGCCTCTTCTTCTTTTACTCTCCCCTTTCCCTCCTGCACTATATATATATATATATATTGCCTTTCTTCTGTCCCTCTTTCACTCCTTTTCGTTTTTTGTTTTTTTTTTTTGCTTTTCTTTGACGAAAAGACAACAGTGTAAGAAATTCAGAAAGCAAAAAGAAAAAAAAAAAAAAGAAGTTGGGAGATTTTCAAAAGCAAGAAAAAAAAAAACATATATCCCCACATAGATATTTTTTTTTCTTTAAGAAAAAAAAAAAAAAGGCTTCTGTAAAGAAACAAAGAGACAAAAACAAGAAATAAAAAAAAAACAGGAAGAAAGGGATGTCATCGTAAATGCGTGTCTTTTTTTGTTTTGGATACGATGCGGTCAGACCCACGCAAAAAAAAAAGAGAGAGAGAAAAATTTCTCTATGGAGTACATGTACCTATGTATGTATGTATATATATATATATATATATTTCATCTTTTGCGCTTATCAGAATACCGACGGTGTGGGAGGCAGCGGCATAGGAAGAAAGAGCATGTTAGGTACGGCCAGCTGCACGCGAGTCTCCTCAAATAACACAGTGCCACTGGGATCCACTGGGCCAAAAAGCAAACTGTCACAGAAGTGTTGCTGAATGTCAGGGCCACTGCGAAGACGCTCCTCCTCAAGTGCCGCATCTTTTCGCCTTGTAAAATTCTGAAAGGTCGCGTTCATTAAATCATCTATAATGGGCTGTTGTTGCTTTTGTTGTAGTTGTTGTTTTCGTCGTTTCTTGCGTTTATCACCATCCTCTGCACTCTCCATATTCCCATTGGGGCGGTCCTGCAGGCGAGGTACCGCTGCGGCAAACAAATGTGTATGTAGTCCGTGCACAGGGAGTTTTACCGGGTAGCGGTACCTTAATGATTCTGCCTTCAACAAATGTGCCTTGGTGTACTCTGCGTAGTCAAACTTTGCCTCTTCCAAGGCCTGGCGATGGTCAACCAAAATCCTTGAGCTCTGGCTCTCCGGCTCTGGCAGTGCCGCGGCATCTGTGCAGCTGTTCTCAACAATATGACGTGCCTTCCTTGGATCCATGCGTCTGCCGGCTCGTAGCCCGTTAATGACTGCAGGCGGGCCCAATTCGGTCCCGCGTAGCAAACATTTCAGAGCACGAGAGCACGCAGAAGATGTGGAAACGGGTGGAAAAGGAGCGTCCTTCGCCTTTTGTGCAGTCGCAACCACCCCGTCTTCCTGATGCAGTTGCGTTCCATCCCGGTGTGCAGAAGGATCCGCATTGAAAGGACTAGTATTAGTAGTAGTAGGAGTAATGGTGGTGGGGGTGGCGGCTGCGACATGAGGCACGGAGTGAGAGTTCATTTTGGGTTCAATTTGCAGCGGCGCAAGAATAACACTCCGCGCAGCATCCGCCGCACCAATTGTACCGGCCACAATGCTGATGCTGCTGGGTTGAAACGAATGCTCAGAATACTCGTCATCATGATCATCATCGACGCTATGATTCACCTCGTCCTTCTCTTCATCCGTATTGACAGAAATAACAGCCACCGATGCGGATTTATCAACGCCACGCACGGTTATAACATGATCCTCCGTTGCCGTATCGCCATGGGCAACCACAACAGCAGCGGTGGCGGTATCCGTACTCTTCGTACTACTACTGATATGAATAGGGTTTACATGAATTGTCCTCTCACTGTGAGAAATAGACCGCAGTAACGGGACGGCATTCCCCTCTGTTATTCCATCGCCAGTCGGGTTGCCTAAACCAGCCGTACTTTTCTCTAGCTTCACCGGGTGACACGATTCAGACCAAAACGCAGAGGAAGTTGAAGAGGCCTCGTCTCCCACCTCAACCACAATCTCCTCCTCATCACTCATCCTCACTCGTTCGCCAGACGTCGCCGTCCCCGCTGCTCCTGCTTCTGCTTCTGCCGTCGTTGTCGTCTTCACCCATCTGGTGTCTGGAGGCCGCATGTGTGGCTGCGGTACAAACAAGTTTTCTACCTCTTCTTCTTCCTCCTCTTGTCCCTCCATCATATCCGCTTCCCGTGGAAGCAGATCCTCTATGGTCCACTTCCACACATCTCCGGCGGACGTTACCACCACCAGTTCTCCGTTTTTAAGTATCTGAATACCAATGACGGAGAAACCAACATCAAATCGCACACGTTCCACAGCCTCGCCGTTTGTTGTTATCATGCTCGCAAGAAGGACTACACCAGAGGCCGTACCCAAAGCCATGAGCCCTGCACAGCAACTTGCACAGCTGATTTGCACGTCAAGGCGTAGCAAAGCAGTACAGATCCATGTAGAATTAGCAATTGTTGTAGCCGCCGAAACATCCTCCTGAGCTGGCGGTGGGGAATATACGGAAAGAACACCTGGTAAACACAACACAGTAAGAGTGTGACTCACCTGCGAGTTGGCAGCAGACTGAATGGCGACTGCTGGTGATGGCTCGTGTGGAAGTGCGGCAACAACTTCTCCTGACTCAAGTGTCAGAACATAAAAGTGGTAGTCTGCTGATGAGCAAAATACATAATCGCGCTGCACGGAAATGCAGAGGACTGTGTCACTAAATACCGGTCGGCGCCAGAAAAGTTTTGCCCCCGCCGCTTCGCATGGAGCCCGCCAAAGTGTCACCTGCCCACATCCCTCACCGCACACCATATAATCCCCATCGCAAAAAACCACACTGGGGCGACTGTGAAATCTCGCAAGGACCTCCACCGTACCATGTTCCATGTCAGCCAGAAGCAATTCATTTGAGTATGCAAGCGAGTAAAGCAGGTGATGTCTGCCTCGTGCGGTATAGAGGGATGGCACAAGGGAAAAACACCGCAGAAGTGACTCCAGTGGTGTATCGCCCAAATGGCTGAGAAACAGACGAAAGGCGCCGGTGTCAATGTTGATAAGTTCCACGAAGCCACCTTTTGTCGTCACGGCGATGCAATCGTGTAAAATGGAACTGGCAGAGACACGAACCACTTCGTGGCGGCACCGCTCAAATCGCTCCAGCAGCGGCTGGTCTGCCCTCTCAAGGGTATCCAACTCGCGCAGCGTCACTGCGGAGGACATTCCCCGCTCTCCCTTTTTACTTATCGTTTTATATTATTATTATTATTATTATTATTATTATTATTACTCTTTGCCACCTGCCACTACCAAAACAAATGGCCGATTCGGCCCAAATGAATGGAGAAGAAAAAAATTCCCACAAACAAATAGAGAGGGAAAAAAGAAGCATTGGAAATGAAGTAAACATGTTTCTTGTTTGTTTGGTTTTTCTGTTCATTTTTGCTTCATTTTGTTTCTTTTTTTTTTTTTTTGGATATTTTTTTGTTGAACCAAATTCACAGGATTTCTCTCCGTTGTACCGCTGTCCTTGTTGTTGCTGTTGTTTGGGAGGGAAGAGGTTTACTGCAATAGTGCGGGTAGGCGCAACAACATTATTGTACCCTGATATCCCATTTACCAAATATATATATATTATTTTTATTCCATTTTTGCTTTCACTTTCTTTCTCTATGTATATTTTTGTGTGTGTGTGCGTGTGAATTGTCCTCTTTTTCTCTTTTCCCTTTTTTTTTTTCTGTTTTTTGCTTTTTGTATTTTTGTTTCTTCGCTCGCTCGGCTTTTTAATGTGGTTTTTCCCTCTCTCCCTCTCTTTCTTTTTTCTCAATGAACCGATTGGGAGCTGAGTACTTGTGGTGGTGGTGGCGGCAGCTGGTTTTCCACGGGATGGGGTGGGGTATCAAAGAGGGCGCTGATGCACTCATCCCGTGTGTGCATGTTAATGGCAGTGGCTAAAAGTGGAGCAATCGTAAGGACCTTCAACTTGGGAATGAGGCGGAGGTGCTCCTCCTGTGGAATAGAGTCGGAAACGACAATTTCACTAAGAGCATCACAGTCATTAAGGCGTTGTGGACATGGTGGGGTCAAAATACCATGCGTACAGCATGCAGTTATCTTTGCTGCACCCAGGGCTTGGAGAAGTTCACATGCCTTTTCAATTTTTTGCCCTGTGTCACACATACCCAACAGAATAACACAGACGCGGCCCTTTACATCACCAACAGGCTGTAACGTTTTACCTCCCGAGGCATTGCATCGCTTTAAGATTGTTACAATGCAGCCGATATTTAGTCTGTCGGCCAATTTTCTTGCTCTCTCAACACCGCCAGAACCAATCGAAACAATAGCCATGTTGTTTGGGTCAAACCAAGATTGGTTACGCAGATATTTTGCAAACTCCTGATTCGTCTGTAGATTGTCAAGCGGGGTATTCCCGAAGAAGCCTTGAATCTGCCCAGAATGAAGATCCAGTGTCGTGACACGGTCCACACCTGCTTGTGTCAACATCTCTGCAACGGCAGAAGCAGATAAGGTGTTGCGTACACCCTTTTTGCTATCCTGACGTGAGTAGGCAAAGTACGGAATCACCGCAGTAACCCGCCTGGCATTACTTAAACGCATCTTTCGAATAAGTAAAAGAAGTTCCATGACGGCTGTATTCACATCGATGACTTCATTCCCTGTCGTGCTCTGAATGATGTATACATCGGCACCAAGAACACTCTCGTCAATACGCACATTCACCTCACCATTTGCATGCTGCCTCACCAATGTTTGGTGCGTGGGGGTCCCAAGCAACATCGCTACCGCCTCCGCAAGAGGGCGATTCCCGTTTCCAGAAACGATACACATAGGTGGAAGATCTTTGCCGCGGCGCGGGGATACGGTTCCTTGCAGAGGATGCACGGCCGCCATGGCGTCACCAGGGGAGTAGTAAAATGCGCTCTCTATTCGCATCAGGTGTTCATGCACCGCCACGTGCGAATCCGCGGGGGACAAGTAAATATCTGTTTCTTCTTCAGCCATTGTTTTCTTTCCGATGTCTCTTAAAGAAGATGTGGAATTACGTGTTAAGCCAAATACCTGCTGTTGTTGTCCCTGCTGTTAGCTGCCGCTAGCCGCTTTACCCACCACCACCACCACCGCTCACGTCGGCTCTGAAAACAAAAGAAAAAAAAAACTCCCCTATCCGCTTGTTTCTTTTTGCTAGTTTTTTTTGTTTGTTTGTGTGTGTGTGTGTTTGTGTGTTTTGTTTATCCTCTTTTCCCTTTCTTCTCAAAATAGAGGAAAAAAAAAAAAAGAACACCTCTCTCGTAGTTAAAATGCAGATGGAAGTCAAGAGGGCGCAGCAGTTCACAATTAAAAAACATTCCATTTCAATTCATAGTCTCTTCCCTTTTCTTCTTTTTTTCTTTCTCATGTACATCAGAAAAAAAAAATGTCTGGTGCGGTTCTACATCGGGGATGCAGTTCCCCCACGTCCCACGCATCTACAGTGCGTGGATAACGGATTCATTCATTGAACCACCCGTCCTCCCAAAAAAAGAAAACCAAAAATATGGGCAGGAGCGTATATACAATTCTGTCTTTACATCCCACCCGTGGCTACTACTCCTGTTGCCGCTGTTGTGTTTGCTGCTGCTGTTTCGACGGTTCAGACAGCATGAGCAACTTATTCATCTCGTGGTACTTTTTCTGAAATGCCTTAAGGTCCAAAGCATGTTCGAGATCCCCGTCGCGTCTGCTACGGTATTCCTCAAGCGGTAATTGTGGGAAAAAGAATGACAAGAGTGCATCCATCTCACGCGGCGAAGGGTTGCCTCCCAGTACCTCCTCAATGCAACGGCGCAACTGCACTGGGGTCACAAGGGCGTCGCGGTGCGGGTTTGCCAAGGAGTAAATGTCCGCCCGGCGCTCCGTGTACGCCCGCGGCATCGTTGAGGCGAGGCGAAACATCTGCAAACTGTTCAGGCACCGAGCTTCAAGTCGTTCGCAAAGCTGAAGTAGCGCCTTCCTCATTACCGCGCGCTCATCTACATCAATGGACTCGTAATTCTTCTGGCCCTTGTCCGTTGCCGTCTCAGACATCCAACGCACAAAATCCTCCATTGTCAGGTAGCCTGTCTCTGAACATGATGCAATATGATTAAAAAGCGCCTCTCCGTCCAGACGTCGCTCCGTGATCTGCAGATCCTGCAGGTGTCCGACAAACTCCGTAACACTTATAACTCCATCCTTGTCTCGATCAAATCCCAAAAAGGCATCCTTAAATGAGTGAAAACGCGTACCCAGAAATAGGCGGAAGGCGGAAATCAGCAAATGCAGCCTCTCGTCATTCATCACGGGATCATTTTTCCCTGCCAAATAGTTCCTTGTGTGCTCATCCATGTTCATTACCTCAAATTTATGTCCATTCACCACAATAAAACCACCCACAGAAAAGTCTGAAATGGTGTAGTAGGCCTCAGCGTCACCCCCTTGCTTTGGCAGGCGTCTTCGACTGCAGAAACAACCCCCCACAAAGCCGGAGTTTCTGACAGGCGACTCAAACACCATAGCATCATCTGTATCCGTATAATAGGTGAGAGTAAATCGCCGCTGACGCTCAACAACGGAACACGGGGGAGCAAGACGTAATAGAAATCGAAGCACATCTTTTGTTTTAGGTCCTGTCCGTTTATCTGAAAAAAAAGCGTGCTCTCCCCCAGTAGAAGCAACGGCGGTAAGAGGAACAGAAGCAGGTGTAGAAGTGAGCCGAAAGGCAGTAACTCTTGATTCTGGTGAGATTCCGTAATCAATACTACAATCCACTGCATCCGAAAGCTTGACACCATATGTTTCCAAGTAGTACGAGCGTGTGTAATCGTCGCAGTCATACAAAAATACGCTCCGACCAAGAACATTGATAGTAATGCCCACGCCCAAGTCTATTGCTGTGTAGTGTCCTTCGGGCCCAATGTATGGTTGCCGCATGCCGTTTACACGATGGGCAAAGGTAAGCTCATTTGCCTTGGCAATGGATCCCACTTTTGGTAGCCATCCACGCGACAGAAAGAGCGAAGGAACAGCCTCGTTTGACGTGGGACGCTCCACCACCGCAATGGAGTCATCCTCCACGAAGTACAACACCTCGAGCTTCCGAACAATACCCACAGGCACCTTGTTACGCTCATCCAAAAGAGAGTAAAAGCGCAAAACTTTCCCGCTGTCATGCACAAAGCGTGCCGCACGGACCGCTTCATCTCCGTGGTATTCCTGTGAAAGAATGCCGAACTTGCCAGACAACATTCGTTCCTGGTATTTTTTCCAATCGCTCATAAATGAAGAATCCGGACACGACACAGGGGAACCAACGTCCACACCGAGGGCAGTGAGAAACTCTCTTGTAAACACGTCGCAGTCATACAAGAAAAACTCAACGGCATTAATGCGCACAGATCGACCCACATTGAAGTGATTGAGTGAGAGAAACTCTTCATCAGGAAATTCCTCTCGTTGCCGTGGATCAGCACGCACCGACTGACGCTTAAGAAACGTTCCCCCACTTAGTCCACTGTTCGGAATACACGGCTCTTGTATTAAAACCGTGTTATCCTCTGGAAAGAAGTGTATAACGACGCGACGGTGCCAGTAATCCTCTATACATCCATCCGGCGCTTTTTCTGTAAAAAAGGCGTAGAAGCGAAGCACTTTGTCTGAAAGCGTTGTGTATTGAGCACGCCGATCAGCTTCAATGCCACCCTTTCTCCGTGTCGATAGAGCATGAAGAAGCTGCTGCGCCGTCAATCCCAGTCCCTTAGGTGGGGTATGGTCGTAAATCCCTTTTGCGGTAAATGCCCGCTTTCCACGAAACTCCAATTCCAACTGCTGCGGCTTGTCCTGCACCTTACGGAATGCCGGATCGAGCCAATTGTGCCCCACTCGTGGCGGAAGTAGCTTCGGATCGAGAGTGCGAATGTACTCCGTCGGCACATCGTGTCCAAGTGCCACTGGAGTTGGAGAAGTCATGTTCAATTAATTCCTTCCGCAATGCCCAGAAAATTAGCTAAAAAAAAGGGAAAAAGGTGGAGCAAAATGAAAACAAGGATTTGAAAAAAGATATACGGCGACTGGTAACAGCCGCGGTTATTGCTCTTACTAATCACCCATCAATAAAAGAGGGGCCTAAAAAGGATTTTTCCCACTGCGCGATAGCGGGATTCAATACGCCTTGCACATCACATTTTATTTTTTTCGCGTCCATCGTTGGTATTTTCAAGAAAAATAATAATAATAATAATAATAATAATAATAATAATAATAATAATAATAAAAAAATAAATAAATAAATAAATAAATAAATAAGCAGTCACTAATTTAACGGTTTCAGTACAAAAATATTCATTATTGAATGCCTCCTCGTTCTCCTTTTTTCGCTTTTTTTTTCCTTAGTTTATGAAAGTCCCTTCTTCTTTTTTTTTTTTTTCCTCCTAGGTACAAAGTGCCTCGGAAGAATCAAGACAGTGTAACCATTTATTTCACCTTATCATAGCCTGTTTAGCTTCCCTCTTACTTTCCAAAACGAATGATTCCAGCAGAAATAAGGGTGTTGATCTTTGCGGCAATCGTCGGATCCCGCATGTATTCTTGGACGCGTGAGGGGTCCCGCTGCATCTCACCCAGTACCAACTGCATATAGCTGTCCTGCATGATAGCAGCAACCTCTGGATCTGCCATGGCGCGTTTTGCCACTTCATCTCCGTCGGCAGAGTTGCCAGTAGCCATCTCCTGAATCTTCATCAGAGTCCGCATGCGTCCTTCCTTACACTCCGCATTCTCCTTATCATGTTTGAGGCCTTCGTCATACGCCTGTAGAGCTTTGTTGTACTGCTTCGTCCAGAAGAAAGCATGACCCCTTCTGGCATGTGCCTTGACAAATTCCGGTTTAAGACTGATGCACTTCTCAGCATCTGCGAGAGCCTGGCTGTACGCCCCAAGTTTCAAGTATGCCGCGGCGCGATTGCTGTACGTCGTGTGCTCGTCTGGATTACGCTTAATGGCCTCCGTGTACGCCTCCACAGCCTCAGGAAACTTGTCAGACTTGAAGAACGTATTTCCCTCTTCCTTCTTCTGTAGCGCTATCTCAGGGTCCAAGTATGCCTCAATTTCAAACTTTTCCTTCTCTTTCTCACAAGCAGTCAACTTGGCGAGGGTGTCAGCGTTACGGTGCTCCACCAACGCTTTCTTAAACAAAGCAATAGCCTCATCGAAACGCTTTAGTCTCTGCAAACACAATGCCTCACGTGTCATAAGTTTAGCCAGCACAGTGTAGTCACAACGATTCTCGCGGCCATGCTCCAGAGCCTCCTCACACTTCTCTACGCACGCTGCATATTCACCCTTTTCGAAAATAACCGCAGTGATATTAAGAAGGTAAACGGTATTCGTACTGTCCTTAGCAAGGGCTTCCTGATATTTCTGTAAGGCCTCATCAAATTTTCTTTGCTTGTACAACGCATTCCCTTCCTCCTTTTTACGCAATGCTTCCTTTGCTTCTGATGAAAGTTCAGTGGCAGCGGCCCTCTTCTTCTCCTGTTCTTCCCTCATTTCCTTCTCCTTCTGCTTTTGTTGTTGTCGCCTCACCTTTTCCTCTTCTTCATCCTCATCCTCTGGGAGTTCCAAGCCACTCAGTACCATAAATGTTGCCATGAAACGTTGATCCTTAAGGTATTTTTGTACTGAAGAAGGATCTTTCATAACTTCGTCAATCATACGAACGTAATCCGGCTGCAAAAGGAAAAGTGAAAGCTTTGGATGGGCCTGTATTTTCCCGATGGCGTCAGGACCAAATACATTCGCAAAAGGATTTTGCATTCTCGAAGCAACTTTATCCTTCTCCACAGCAGCAATACCCTCGGTACATGCAGCGCTTGACGGATCAAGAGAAAGCCCCTTGTTGTACGCAGCAGCAGCTTCTTCGTAGCGCCGAAGGCCGTGCAGGGCAGCGCCTTTTCTCACGTAGCCTTTCACCCAATCTGGCTTAATGGAAACACATTTCTCGGCATCCTGCAACGCATTTGGATACTGATGAAGGGCTGCATGGCAAGCAGATCGATTGCTGTATAACACATGGTTAGAGGGGTCCAGGTTAATCGCCTGACTGAAAAACTCGGCAGCCTCCTTATAGCGACCCGAAGAAAACTCCTGGTTGCCCCTGTTCTTAAGTTCTGTTGCGTCCATTAATCCTATAGTAGCCTAGATCAAAAACACCATGTACGTAACAAAAAAACAATATGGAGATACATACATATATCACAAAATAATAATAATAAATAAAAAAAACAGAAAACAAAAGTCAATATATATATATATATAAGGCGTCATTTTAAAATGACGCCCCGCACACACAAAAAAATTTACTGCCTTATGCCATCACACAGAAAAAAAAACCGCAAACAACAATTCAATCATATACACTCAGATACATAATGCTATTGATCCCTATATGCTTTTTGTTAATGATAATTTCCCTTTTTCTTCTGTTGGATTTTATGTTATTGCTGTTTTTTTTTTATGTATTATTTTCCTTTCCTTCCTCTGATGGCGCTTGAATTCACGAATCCTACTGAATATTTGCCTGCTATAGAATATTCACCTTCGCTCAATGATGAGCCCTCTTCTTCTGGTCGTTTTTGGAAGAATCAATTTCCTCGCGCTGATTAATGCGAGCCTGAAGAGCAAGAACCTCCTTCAATAAACGATCACGCGCGCTGTCTGAGCTGCCGGACTGAATGGCCTTCGGGCTCTTCTCAGCTTGCTCAGCTGCCTTCTTCGCTTGAGCCTTGGCCATAATTTCACGAACCTCGTTTACCGAGCGAAGTCGGACTGGCAGGAGACGACGTTCTTCCAGCGGAGACCACCACTGCCAGCCCGTGATGTCCACCTCCAGCTCAGCGCGATCACGAACCTCTGGGCACCAGTCCATGTAACGCCAAACACCAAGTTGCCCTTCAAGATGCTTGATCGTCAAACGCTGCATAATTGCTTCACGAGCCAGGACAGGTTTAAAACGCTCAAGGAGATCAACCAGTTCATCCAGTCTTCGATCCTGTGCGGGTTTTCTGTACTCTTGAAGAACAGCCTCGATTTGTTTGTCGTCACATTCCGTAGTTTGAACTGCAAGTGCGTCGTATCGAGCACGCTTTGCAGTAACAATTTCACGGTCAATGACAGTGGCGTACTCTTGAGCCCAATTATTTTTTGGAAGCAAAGCACTTGGAAGACCCTGTTCTGCGCGACGCTTTCGGAAGGCAACCAATTTCTTTTTGGATTCCGCTTCACGCTTCAACTGAGCCAGTTTCACCTCGTCCTCTGGGGTATAAACAACCCACTTGGCTATCTGATCAAAGTCACATCTGCCCTCTTCTTTGTGATATGACCAAAGAGCATGGCGAAGACAACGCTCCATTAGTGTAAGCTTATCCATGGGTTGATCATCGGTCGTGCTTTTCCGCATTTTTTCGGCCCCACCCAGCAAAGCATCAATCTCCTTTTCAAGCTGCTCTATCGTCGATGTAGACTTCCGGGTGTATTGAGGAGGTATCGGCCCCTTATAGCGTTTAATCATTTCAATTGCGATACTGGTATTCCTCTTCACCTGTTCATCCTTAGTTAACTTGGAAGTAGGGTTTGTTGGAAAATACAGCATTGGCGCCACACCAGAGATGCATCGATAGCCCCCGGCCCCAAACCTAGAGTGAGCCACGCGACGCATTGATAATACTCTTCTTTAAAAATATATGCAAAAAAAAGAGAGAGAGAGAGAGAAACGTTAAAGGGCGTGAAGAAAAACCTCTCGAATTCCTTATATCAGAACAAAAAAACTTTCCCATAAAAAAACAATATTACGGGTAGAGGATTTTTTTCTTTTTTTTTTTTCCTTTCTTTTACTCTTCTTCTAAAACGATGTGCTTCTAGGCGCCTCCGTAACAAAATCGAACGGAATTTCCTTCACGCCGTTGCAAATGCCCCAATGACAGAACTTGTAGTTCAATTGGTGGTAGAGATACGGTACTGGCAACTCTCGGTCTCTCGATACGTCGAGAAATTGTACGTACGGTTCTTCTTGAAACCGCAGAATGCACAGCAGGCACCTGTCGGTTTCCTTGTCGACGATTATAAGACCTCAGAACAGGCAAATTTGATGAACTCCTTTGTGCCACATGATCCTCAACATCAGAAACTATAACTGAGCTATGATCCACGGGACAAACTGCCGAATGCTCTGTTAGCCATCTTCGAGCACATGAAGTATGGAAAAAATGCCCACATAATAGCCAAACACAACTACTATTGGAATCAAAGGATTCTAAGCATATAATACATGTGTCAGTTTCAAACGAGGAATTCCACCCCCCACGTTTAAGTGTCATAAATTCTTGTAACGTTAACACCCGGCGAATATTTCTTTCGTCAAGCTGAATAAGCGCTTCATAATCATTCGGATTAATCTCTCTATACATTAACGGAAGAACCTCCGCAGGGATTTGGGTTGGGGCTTCCTGAATGGGCTGTACGCGTGATGGTCTTCGACCATCGTGTCTCTCCACAACATCCCGAGCTCCTAATAGCGAAAAGGGATGGTTCGAATGAGTATCGCTACAGTGGAAACACTCCGCACATAGGAAGTAATCTTGGCAAAATAAACAAATATATTGTTCCCCTCCCGCGTACCTTTTGCATCCACAGCATTTCTTGCTCGTATTATTTGGATCGTTTATCCAGAGGCTTCGACAGTACGGGCATCGCAAAAAGGCACCAAAATTATGACGCTTATATTGTTTAAAACAATATGCATGAAGGTGTCTCCCACAGCTTGCTTGACAGTAACATAAAGGACTATCATTGCAAAGATCTTCAAAGCAGATTGGACACACATCACCTTGTTCAACCTGCTTGGGGACAACAGTTCCCGTTGCTCCTGTCTGATTCTGTACATTTCGTACCCGTTTCTCGGCCCTCAACAATTCGTCAATTTCTGCAGCCACAAGTGATCGCTGCCAAACCAATGGATTTTCCCTTGGTAAAAAAAAAACTTTACATAAGATAAACAGAATATGAAGACATAACTCTTGACCATCGCCACAAGAGCATTCGTGAGGATCACCTATAGATGTTCTAAACTTCTCCCTTCCTTCGCGTCCACTCAAAATAAAGCTTGTGGGCCCAATACGCCTAACCAGGAGTAAATGACAAGAAGGCAATCGGTCAAAAATGTCCTTAACAGCCTGTGGACAATTGGTCCGCCAAGGCACGCTTCGGGACATAAGCCTAGCTCATAAAAATTTGGTCCAATCTTCCAACTCTTTGGGCACACCGCTAGAAAAAAATGTGGAAGGCAAATTTATTTTTAATGAGGATAAAGAAAAATAAAGAGAACAAGCAGCACAGGACTCGCACAACTCATCACGGAATTGACTCTCTTCAGGTTCAGGCATATCAAAAGCAAATTTTTCACCGTTGTGTTTCTTTAAGGAAAAAATGTCAATAATTCATGTGCCGGTGCAAACCAAACTCTCAATAGTTCGCTTTACTCCTATACGAACCGCATCCCGAATTTTGCAGATTACAACAATATTTGACTGTAATATTTCCTCCCCTGAAGACGTCTTCTCAGTGAGCTCACGTTCTTTGTCTTCTGTCTCCTTGCTTAAATCCACCTCGGCTCCTTTTTTCGGCGTTGGATGGTCAGCCATTTGGTTGGATCCTCGTAACCTCCTCGCTCTTGCAAATGCTCTTCCTTTTTTTTCAAGCTGCTTGCGGAATCCACCTTTTCCACCACGGATCCGCAATAGAACATAATAATGTCCAACCCCCATTGACTCATCTAAAACAGGAAAAAACCCCTTGGTTTCTTTTCTGTAAAACTCGACAGACTCAACAGTCAAACCAAGGATATTTGAGAGCAATATCCGCATCTCTAGGGTAGAGCCGGAGGTCGGCATAACAATCGTTTTCATCGCCGGACATATTGTGCATGTGATGAAATCAAACTCTACCTTTCCAAATTCATTCCGACTAAGTGATGCCAACATTTGTCTAAGAATCTACCTTTTATTTATTAGATAATTATTTTTTTAAAAGTATGTATGATGTATTATCGTATGTCTTTGAAGTAAGTCTAGAGTAAAAAAAACATTCAATCAACACACAATATTGAAAAATAAAGAAAAACCAAAGATTCCAATTATTATGGAAATTAAATTTATACTACGGTATGGGCATTTTTCCACTCATTGTTTACATGCAAAGTCTTTGATTTTTATAGGGGCTCGTGAAGAGCATTTTCACAGAACAAGCAGGCCATCTAATTTATTATATCCTGACAAAGCTTACCCTGTATGAATTTTCCCTCTACTTTATGAATACCTGGCTGACTGTGATTCTGGGAATCAGGAAACTGTTAACTTCCAAACGATGGGGTTTTACTTTTCGTCATTAAAGCCACACGAGATCCCTGCAAGCTGATTGAAAGAAATGGCAGTGTTTCCTTTTACACTGCTACGGGGTAGAGCGAAATTGGTGCCCGTCTTTCAGAACGGGTACGTCAACATGGCGCTATCCAGGCGCGGCTCGCGTTTCTTGATGAAAACGGGCCGTCGGATGCGACGTCGAATGTGGCCGCCCCCATGGCAGGCTTAAGCTTGATTTCAGGGAACATCGCCAAACCCTTGAAGGACCCGAGCGTTGCAAAACGCATTTCGAACCGCCGGGCGTGTCGAGTAACAAATTTCGATGCTCAAGTGCTTCTGCCCATCGCGTCCGGGCGGCCCGACGGTTGGGGGCCCAGCTAGGCCTGATCATCGCCTAAGAGGAGCGGACGAGCACAGACCACGCCCACGCCGGGGATCCACGCTCTCACCAGCAAGGGAGGTAAGCGTCTGCTGCCCATCCGCCGCACGCGGAGAGGCGGGAGGCGCCGCACAAACGGGTCGGAAGGGCACCAGATGGAGCCATTTACATGGCTGCTCGCGGAGCGGTATTTCCATCCGCTGCTGAATTCCATCGGCGCTCATCAGCGCTACACATACCGTTTGCGTGCCGTATGTGACGCGCAACGACAAAAGCTACTGCTAAGCGGCGACATTGAGCAGCACCCAGGCCCCATAGCAGCACTCCAGATGAACGTTTCTTGCCTCACGCCGTCAAAACTCGCAACATTAATGGCGCAAGGAGCAGACATAATAGCCATCCAGGAGACTTGGAAGTCGTCAGAGCAGATCGCCAGCATGCACACTGGAGATTATGTGCTCTATGCACAGTCGCGCATCGGCAAGGGAGGCGGTGTGGCGGTGCTGGTGCGGAAAACTCTCCGCTCCAAGCGTATACCCCTCACCATCCCTCAGCATGACACCAGCCTTGAAGTGGTGGTGGTTCAGGTTGCTCTGGACCAGAACCGTGATCTTATTGTAGCGAGTGCCTATATGAGACCACCACCGCAAGTAACGCAATCCTTCAGGCGGTTAGTAAACTGCCTTCCAGCCTCGTCGCCGCTCCTGCTGTGCGGGGATTTCAACATGCATCACCCACAGTGGGAGCCATTCTTGGAGTCTTCTCCAACCGAGGTTGCTGCAGAATTTTTAGAACTGTGCACGGATGCGGGACTCACCTTGGTTAACACCCCTGGTGAGATCACGTATGCCCGTGGCACAAGAGAACGATCCTGTATCGATCTGACATGGTCAAAGCATTTGACTGTGTCAGATTGGTCAGCTTCTGTGTCGCCGCTTATTGATCATTATATGCTAACATTCACGCTGCATCAGGCATTTAAGGATACCATACCTTCGGCACCCCCTTCGGCACCTAAGACATTCTACAGTTGGGGGAAGTGTAAATGGGATTTATTCATCAAGGACTTCGACGCACAACTTCCGGCATATGACTATAAAAAGCAGTCCACCGGCATTAAAGCTTTCACGAGAGCGCTTATTACTTCGTATCGAGGACATTGCCCCCGCGGCATGCACAAGGATGGTCCCAGGCTTTGGGACGACACTCTCATGGAAGCAGAGCGGATTGCTACCGACAGCAAGGCCCGCTATCTACAGTTACCGACGCCCGACCGTGAGGCAGAAATGCAACGGACAAGGAGTCAATTCTTCCTCCTACTCCGAGAGCGCTTGCGCAACACGTATCTACGTCGCATCAGCAAGTTAAATCCAGGCGAACCACTTGCATGGAAATACATTTCCGGACGAAAAAGGGCATCACTTCCACCTCCTACATCATTGTTGTTGGGAGATGGTCAACACACTTATAAAACAGCAAGGAGAGCAGCGAATGCTCTCAATCGTATCTTTTTTCCACTTCACCCCTCTCACAAGGCAGTAAGGTTTTCCAAAGGCATCAAAAGACAGAACCCATCTTTGGGCATTGTTTCTTCTTCTCTTTTTGGGCCGCAGAACAACAACGAGTCTGCCGCTACATCTACTTCAGTTTCTTCACTCTTCTAGCTCTGAGCCGCAGAACAACAAAGCTGCCACCACATCTGGTTTAGTTGCTCATCTTCACTCCCCTCTTGATGCACCTTTTAATCGTACGGAACTGCTTGCTGCGCTACGTAATACGCCGTATGGCAAGGCCCCCGGACCGGATGAAGTCTACAGTGAGGCGCTACGACATATTTCGTCAAAGGGTCTTCGATTTCTTTTTCGTTGCATTAACCACAGCTGGACGACCGGTACGATCCCAGCTGAGTGGAGACGCGCTACCATCGTCCCACTCTTAAAACCCGGTAAGTCGCCGGAACTGCCTGAGTTGTATCGACCCATCAGCCCTACTTCCATTGTGAGTAAGGTTGCTGAGAAAATGGTACTGAAGAGATTGCTTTGGGTGTGGACGCCTCACCCCCACCAGTATGCATATCGTAGTATGCGTACCACGACGATGCAGCTGGCACACCTGATACACGAAGTGGAGCATAATAGAAATCATTATTTCCAAGTGAACCTTCCCAAGAAGAGCGGTATTGGTAATCAACTCCACTACAGACCCCATCGGACTCTGCTGGTGTTGGTTGATTTCAGCAAGGCTTTTGACTCCATAGATCATCGAGTCCTCAGTCGCTTGCTGGCTAATATTCCGGGGGTGAATTGTAGAAGGTGGCTTAGAAACTTTCTATGTGGTCGCTACGCGAAGACACGAGTTGGTAACAGAAACAGTGATCGGCGTCCCATGCTGCGAGGAGCTCCCCAGGGGTCCGTACTGGGACCATATTTGTTCTCCCTTTACGTACACCCACTTCTCAATCTGCTGAACAGCTTTGCGGGTGTCACAGCAGACATGTATGCGGACGACCTCTCTATTATCGTTAAGGGGCAGTCCCGGGAAGACGCCATTCCCACTGCCAACATGGTTCTTAAAAAACTGCATGCGAGGAGTCAGGAAAATGGCCTGGCCATTAACCCGTCAAAGTGTGAAGCCGCTTGGTTCACACTCTCCACGCATACGGAGTCAGATTATGATCGTGAAGGAAAGTGGCCCCTGGTAGTGGCTGGATGTGAAATCCCAGTCATGACCATGGGGGCATCGCGAACTACGAAGCTTCTTGGCATGGATCTCGATCCACGACTGACGCTAAATGTGGCGGCTACCAAGCAATGCGCTGCCACTTCGCAACGGATATCGCAGCTACGCTGCATAGCGCATAAAGAGGCGGGACCATCTCCACATGACCTACGCACGTTCATCATTGGATACGGTGCTCCCAAATTACGCTATGGCAGTGAGCTCATAAGGGCAGTAGCGTCTCATTTTTCGCTGAATCCGAGATGCAGAAGACGTATGCAACCCTGGCGCGCATTGTCAGCGGAGTTCCGAGCACTGTCGACCCGGAATCCGCGCTTCTAGAGGCTAATATGCCGCCGCTCCATGTCCTTTGCCTGCGCGCGCGGCTCTCCATATTTGAGAACACACGCGCTTGCCAGATGGACTGGATGCGGAGACCTCCGCCTGAGCCACCGCCTCGCGCAGGTTTCCGCATCTCGCCATTATCTCGGGACGAGCTATATGCCTTCGTAGACGCGTACACAAAGGACTATGGCATCACTCAGAGCTCACCGCGCGAAGAGCGGTTCTTTCGCAGCTCCATTCCTCCCTGGTTTGCGGCCTCCGCACACCGGGTCACCATTGGCGTGGAACTTCCGATAGACCACTCAATAACTGACGAGGAAGAGCTGACAAGGGAAAAGCGAAGAGTCAGCGAAGAAGCTCTAGCGCTGCACAGTCATTGTTCGTGGATACTCGCGACGGATGGCGGTGTCGACGTTCCCAAGTCTGCCAGGGTTGGAATCCTGCTTTCATCCCTCAATTCATCGGAGATAATAGAAAAGGCCAGTACAAACTGCGGTGCACGCCCATGCAGCTACAGGACGGAATCCCGCGCACCGCTTCTAGCCCTAGAGAAGCTGATCATCCCTCGTATCCAGCACAGGCATAAAACCCTGCTTGTGGTTACAGTCAGTCAGTCTCTTCTAGCGGCTCTAAACAAGGGCCCGCTCAGTCAGACAGACTGGACGGAGGATCAGATCTGGCAGCGTCTCTTGACACTGACGTGTGCTGGCTGGTCCGTGCACCTGCAGTTTTGTTACGGACATTGTGAAGTACATGTTAACGAGCCTGCAGATCAGCATGCGACGCAAACCATGGCAGCCGGGCAATACACGGAACATGGAATTGCACCTTTATGGCATACGGCCCTGCTGACATGTTTTGATACCCAGCTCACCAATACGCGGCGTAGTACCATCCGTCGGGGCACACACCGCTACTCGCTTTGCGGCACAAGGCCCTCAGATCCAGGCGACAAGGACCTGATCACTCAGGAAGTTCTTCACCGTCAAGAACTGGTTCACCTCGCAAGGGCAAGGTGCGGCGAATCTGAGCTCTGGGGTCGACTATACTGGGCTGTGAGAGATTGCACGAACCAATGCCGTTTCTGCAACATCTCACCGGAACAGTCTGCATATATGCGCTCTAACAACGACCCGACTGCACCGGGGACGGACACTGTTCCCCCGTCGGCAAGGGGGCCGACGCACCTCGTGTGGAGAGAGGAACGTCACACGGCGTCGGGAGTAGAAATGCCCGCACTGTGACACCAGGCCGGTGGGACACACGAACCCCATCGGTCACCGTCGGTGCTTTCATCCGGAATACCGCCCACCGCTTCCCAAGCCCAAATGCGATTGCTGCGACAAGGTCTTCCCCACACGGAAAAGTACCGCACAGCACAGAACGCGTTGCGCACACAACCCTGACGCCACACGACATCTAAACAGAAGTGCCAGGAGGCGATCTCTGCTGCCGCAGGATCAGCCAGCTTCCACAAGCACGCCAACTTCCCGCGTAAAAACTTGCACCATCTGCTTCCAGAATTTCCAGGCACCTTGCCTGTGCGCCAAAGGCTGGGCATTGAGCAGGACCTCCGCACCGAAAATTTCTCTTAATGGCAGTTGCCTCATAGCAGGAAACTCTTGTCGCTGCTCGACCACCTCTTCATCACCCAGACGGCATCGTGTGGCTAGACATGTTGGTAAGATTAGGGGAAAAACAGAAGAAACCGTCAAGAACGGGAAAAAAGTGAAGAGGCGGAATGCCATCAATGGATTGGAGTGAACTTCCCGATCAACAGCAGTGAAACAAATGGACGGGCGCTCACGAAGGTAACCTTATTTATTGTGGAAGAAGCCGAGATAATTTCGTAATATCGTATTCAATGTGTATTTCAGCAGTTACCATAACTCAGTGATGCCGTATTTTGTTGAGACTGCACCAGTTACTCAATCCATTCATTTCTTCTCTCAAGGTAAGCCAATTGACAAGCATACAAACAGCCAAAGCGCACTGTGAAAGACCCAAAAGAAAAAACACACACAAGGATGCGTCACACTCTGCTATTCCAGGTGCTGCTGCTCTGCTGCGTCTCTGGTTCTGTTGCCGTCGCTGAGCATCACTGCATCTCCGAAGAAATTGAAAACAAGGTTGGCCCCCGGACGACAGCAGTGGTGCTAGAGCTGCCAACTCGGGAAAGTGGCATGATGCGGGCGCCGACTGCCTCGGATCCCGATTGGGCGCCCATCCGCTTTCAAGTCTTCACGGAGGATCTGAACGATCCTTCAAAACACTGCACCGCTGAGGGGCGGATTTGTCCAGACTTTACTGGGGGAACTCTTGAGTGTAAAAGAGAGGATATTTTGACGAAGGAAAAAAGATCCATCATATTAAACTCCCTTCTTCCCCGAGCGTTCGGAATGCACACGGATCGTCTACTTGTTAAGCCTCTCACGGGCAGGGTTATTGTACCAAGGTACTCGTCAGGTATATGCGCACAGTTTAAAATACCCAGCTCCCACCACACAGAGGGTGTGAGCGGTGCGGACATGTACTTGTATGTCTCCGCTGGCCCGACACAGTATTCCACACTTGCGTGGGCCACTACATGCTCTCAATTAACCGATGGACGCCCTGTTGTCGGAGTGGTGAATTATGGCCCGAGCTCTGTCACTGATTCGGAGAACAGTGTTCGTGTTTCAGCGCATGAGGTTGCACATGCTATTGGGTTTGCTGTGTGGTTAATGAAAGAACGCAATATGTTGAAAGAGGTTTTGGATGTACGCGGCAAAGCAAAGGTGCTGCAGGTGTCGCCACCCAAGACGGTGGAGAAGACTCGCGAGCACTTCAACTGCATGAGTGCTACCGGCATGGAGCTGGAGGACGAGGGTGGGGAAAGGACAGCATCGTCGCATTGGAAGAGACGCAACGCAAAGGACGAGCTGATGGCTGGTATTCCCGGCATCGGATACTACACGGCGTTGACAATGGCTGCTTTTGAGGACACCGGGTTTTACATGGCAAATTGGGGAAAGGAAGAACCGATGTCATGGGGCAACAACTCCGGCTGCGCGCTGCTGACAGAGAAATGCCTGATAAATGGCGTCACCCAGTATCCAGAGATGTTTTGCACCGCTGAAACAGGTCTTTTTTTATGCACTTCGGATCGTCTGGCGCTGGGGTACTGTACAATCCATCTCTACACAGCCGAACTTCCCTCACAATATCAGTACTTTTCGAATCTCAAACTTGGCGGTGCCCTCAACACCTTAATGGACTTCTGCCCTTACATTCGACCGAATATCAAAACTAGATGCAGTAATGGGGACGCAACCGTTGTGCGTGGGAGCCGCGTTGGCCCGAGATCAAAGTGCTTGAAAGGGGATGGACTTGCCGATTTCATGGGTCTTGTTGGTGACGTGTGCGCTGAGGTGTCGTGTGAAAAGGGCGAGGTGAGCGTGCGGTACCTTGGAGACGATGCGTGGCACAAGTGCCCGGAGGGCGGCAGTATTACACCAACTGGGCTGTTCATGCAAGGGAGGATTTTGTGTCCAAAGTACGACGATGTATGCACTGTCATCGATGCATGCAGGGGAGGTGGAGGCGTGAGCAGTTTGCTGTCAGCTTTTTCATCAATCCCATTGATTTTACTGGTCCTTATTTTTGTGTCAATGTGTCAATGATTTCCTAGGAAACGCGCGTTGTAACCGTTCAATTGTGAATGTGCCAGTTTTTGGTGGGTAGTTTTACTTCTTCTTTTTGATCTTTTTTAAATTCCTTCTCGGTGCACATAACTCCAATTGAAAAGAGATGCATTTGTGTGCGGCCAAAAGGGGCCTCTATTTTTTCTCTGCTATTTACGTTGGGTCGAATAAAAACCTTTCCAAATCGAACTGGTTTGTGCGTCAAGAACGCAAAAGAATTAGTGCGCGTGTGAAGCAGCATTTAGAAAAAAGAAGCCATTTGTATTGTTGGGGCATAATCCCTTTTTTTCGTATTTTACTAGGAGCTTGTGAAGAGAAGAATTGCGGGAAGCTGGCTAACTCAATTAATTTTAAATCCCGATAATAAAGAATTCACTTCTTTATGATACTTTTCTGTCTTATGAACGTGAAAAGAACACAACTTTGGGTGGAACAGGGAGCAGACAGCAAATAGGCAATTTTATTCTTGTTTTGCCATTCCACTCACCTTCTTTTGATTCCCACGTCGCGACGGGGCCTTGTGCTCGGAAGACCCTAAAGTCTGCCACTTCGTAAGTAATTATCTTTCCGATTCTGAGGACAAAAGACCATGCGAACGGTCAATTGAATTTATTTATTGGATAAAAAGAAAACAGCGAGGCAATTAACTGCCTTTGCGATAAACCCTTTTTTCCCTACCTTGTTTGGTTTCTATAGGAAATTTCGGGATTCGGCCAGCGGCTAAGAAGATTATTTTTTGTTTTTGTTTTTTGAATTTGGTTGTCATTTTTCGCTTTGTTTTGTTTTTTTAAGGGCTGTAAGAGGAATTTTGTTGGCGGAGGCGTGTCTAGAGGAACACCCGGTAATAATGTCTTTTTCTAGTAGCTTGTAGAGAGAATGATCGCGAGGAAGGATTGTTGTCAACATTAATGTATCCTCCTGATGAAGCGAATATATTTATTTCCGATACTTGCCCATCTTTTGGAAGCAATAAAACACCGCGATGGAGGGAGTCGAGGAACTGATAACGGCAAGACGAATGTCCTTTCATTTGCTTTTCTCTTTCTCACCCATCCTCCTTTGATTACCAAATCGCGGCGGGGCCTTGTGGCTGGAGGAACTCATAGTCTTCCACTTCGTAATGAATAAACATCATCCATCTGAATAGACTGCACCGTGTCACGAGAGCGGCCTTTAGAAAACACATGTATTTGCTTGGAGCAAACATTGAGGGTGTGGCAAAGCCACTGCCTCTCCATTTACCCCTTTTCCCTCTCTTGCTTGATTTTTTTAGATAATTTTAGGATTCGTCCAGCGGTCCAGGCGAATATTCTCCCCTATCTATCGTAGTGAGGCTCGGGGCGAAGCATATTTATTGAGGGAGAAATTTATGGGCGGACTCATGGATCGGACGGCGTCCACGAGATGCCCACGACCACATTCTGAGGCGGAGTGGTCCAACGGCACTTTCTTGACTTTCTCTTTGCCCAGCGAATAACCCGCCATTGAGCCACCACGTGGGCGGCGTTCTCACCATTAGCGGGCAGCCAACTCTTTGCAAGGCGGTTCCAGGAAAAAGGAATGAATTGCACCTCGTTGCGACACTCTGTCGCTGCCATCACCGCGCCGAGGAACCCTGAGTCCATTCGAGCCTCTCTGAAGAGGAAGAGGCACACTGCTGTTTGAAGCAAGTGGGCGGCACTTGAAGGAAGGCAGTTGGCGCTGCACTGGCTCATATGAGTGTGCCCGGGCTCAGTTGGAGGCTAAAAAATATTGGCGTGCAGCTCAGATGCCCACGTGCAGTTCCGTGCGGTGCGCATCCGATTGGCGCCGATGCAAAGGTCGCTCATGGCCCTCACTGGGACGGCAACTTGGCGACCATCAGCGCTCAGCCAGGCCCGTCACAAGTCTCCACCACTTCTGCCGCGGGAAGTTGGAATGCTTCCCATACGGCAGAGGCAATCGGAAGATCATGCAGATTCATGACGTGCCAGAGGGATTAGAGCTGTTACTCGGCCCACGGGGCACACAGGGGCCCAAGCGGGGAATCTGTGGGAGGCGGGGGCTCGTACGGAGGATCGCGGTCGCACCATTTGACGGCGTATTGGAATGCATGATGTGTGCAACGCCTGGCCACAGCTCCTGGATGCGTCTTGGGCCACCTTTCCGACGCCGGCTGCGCCAGACCCCGGCGTGCAGACAGCGGTGGGAGGAAAGAGGCGCCCTGGGCGTGCGCCATTCGCGAGGAAGAGATGCTTACGGAATCGTGCCAGTTGGCAGGGCGACTGCGTACACTCAGTCAAATGGATCCTCCGGACAGTGAATAACGATGCTGGAGTGCGGGTCCAGGGCATTCAGGGTGCTATCGAGGTGCCCAGAAATGGGACCGCCCATTCCCCCAGGCATTTCGGAGAGCAAAGAAAGAGCATGCCGCACCCCTGCCCAATGAAGCACGATGCTGCGATCGTGGTTGGATTGTACAATGCAACACGACGTGCCGAGTGAAGCTGCGCAAGGAGGCCTTTAAGCAAACAAAAAAGAACTTTTGCCTCCGGAAGCAACGACTTCTGGGCGCGCACAGGTGGGGAATCATCATCAATTTCCGGGTGTGACCGGGCGGCATGGGTTCCTCTCAGCGCCGCGCTCGTGGTGGTGCCGTGGGCCACCTCCCCAACACGTCGTGCAGCTGTCACTGTTGGTGGAAACGAGTTGGCGCACCGGGCGACGGTGCTGGGAGCACAATTGTCGCCGGGGAAGGACGGCACACGACCATATTTTCTGAGGGCCACAGCATTGTTCGGCTCACCCATCGCCGCCGGGTTGCGTTGCGGAAGGAGGAGGAGGATTGGTTGCCCCGGCGAAGAGTGGACGTGTGCACTTTTCATCCCTGAATTGGATCCGATGGCGGATAAATCCAACGGCACGCGGCTGTTTTGGCGAGTTGTGGAAGGACACTGTGTTACGGTCCGTCATTTAGACGAGCGATGGGAAAGAAATGAATTTGCGGAACTCCGCACAGCATGCGCTGCTTGTGAGAAAGGCAGGTAGTATTTGTGAAGCGTTGGAAGGGACCGTCGCAGGATGGTCTGGCGGTGCCTTTTGCGGCGGTGTTGGACAAGCCGTCAGGACAGAGATGGCGGTCCATCGCATGGCCAAAGGCAAGGAACGCCCATGAGGACGCCGGGGTCATGGTTGCTCTGCCATTTCACATTTCACAGTATCTTGGCGCAATGTGGGACGAAGCCGCCGCGTTACTGGATGTGGATGCGTCTTTTTACAGGCGGTTCTTTTGGCGGATACGCACGGGCGAGTTTCGGCTGTCGAGTGGAACTCGTGGATCTCGTGGAGTTGACTCGCCCCACACGGGCCGCGAGTGTTGTCCGGAGGTTCCCCGTACCACTGCGAGGGTCTTGGCGGAGGACCCCGGGAAGGTAAGACCGCAGTCTGTGGTGCCGCGCGTGGTAAGGGCACCTGTTTGGATTTGCAGTATCCGAACCAGCGGGCTGCGGAGGAGCGTGGTTCGGCGGGGCCAATGTGCGGCCAAGAAGTGGCGCCAACGGGAGAACAGGAGGCCCTTTTCAAGTGGTGTGAATCTATTGGTGTATCCTTAAGCCGCGAGACGAAGAGTGTCGCCTTGAGGCACGATGCGAAGACGAGGATTGAGGGAGGCCGCGTTTCTCCGAACGCCTGCAGCTGAGGGTGTGGATGGTGTGGCTCCGTATGATGCTGCGCGGCGGTGCGGGGGATTCCCTCTTTTGACATTAGCTCTTGTTTTTTCAACATATTGCGTCCCTGAGCGTCGTGTCCTCACGATCCCGCAGACGTGCCGCCATACGCACCGAAAGTGCGGCAGGAGCGGCCCCGCAAATTGCCGGAGAAGGAGCTCGTTTGCCTTGGGGCGGCCTCGCCAGCCCCTGCCATGTTGGCGACAGACGCGTCCATGCACGGATGGAGCGGTTTACTGCTTTGGGGGCGGGGGAATTGTTGACGGCTGGCGGCGCGCGGGGACGGGTGCCAAACGCAATTCGCCCGCCGACGAGACCCCGATGGGATCACCACCGGTGGAATTTCGCTGCCCAAAATGTGGCTTTTAGCACTAAAGCAATGACGGACTGACCCGCCACCGCACGGCACGCCACGGGCATCAGCCAGACATCGTGAAAACCGGCGAACGTGAATTGTGCGATGGAACAAGTCCGCATCCACTCCGCTGCCCGGCGCTGCGGGCTATTAGACAAAACATGAGGCGGACACTTGGAAATTGGGGAAGCTGTGCCTCACGGAAGGGTTGGCGCAGTTTCTTCTCGGGGTGGAAAGGCTCTGCCCCCAACAGAGCCTCTGCGCGGCGAGAAGGCACGAAGCTCCTCGAAGATGCGACGTAACTTCGATGCTGGTGGCAGGCGCCTCCTCATTTCTCATTGTTGTTCGATTATTTGGTTGGTTGATTTATGGTTTTGTTATTGTGCTGATTATCGGCAGCGATGGATTACTGAGCCGCGGCGCTATTCCGGGGCGGAGGCGTGACGGGGTCGTGTTTCACGCCCTCTGCTGCAGCCGCCTCTCCGGGGGCCGGGGCTCTCCTTCACGTCTCCACTCAGCGGGGCGGACGTGCTCGACGATGGTGGCCGGCGTGCGGGTCGTCGAATTTATTTGAGAAAACACGAGAAAAAACGACAACAAAAAGCGGTTGGAGCCAGCTCCCGTAGCCACGGAGGGACGGGTCGTAGCGCACATGCGGACGCTTTGTCGCCAGCAACCCTGGGAGGTGCTGCGGAGGGACTTCCTCCCGCACGCAAGAGGCGCGCACACGGCGGACGGCCTTTGCGCTGCTGGAGGAACTCTCAGTGCTGGGGGGGGGGGGGTCACAGAACGCACCATGGGTCCGGTGTGTTGGCTTTTGGGGCAGCTTTTGGCGACGCTCCGATCCGGCGTGGTCATGGGGCGGTGGACAGAGCAACGGCGAACACGGCGACCTTAACGCAATGGGGTGGCAGGAGGTGCAGTGCGGAAGAGACGGTCATAATCATTGCACCGCCGGCGCGCCTGTTGTCGAGCACCTCGAGAGAACGACGATGAAAGGAGGTTCGTCCGGATTACTCTTCGCATCCCCGCTTCAGGGCTGCCCATCACGATGAGGCTGCCGTGCAGTGATGCCACATGATATGGGCTGCTTGGAGAGACAGAGTGTGCTGTGCGCTGCGCCTTGCCCTGGAGAAGCCGATTATCCCTTTTATCCAGCACAGACACAAAACCCTGCTTGTGGTTACCGACAGTCAGTCTCTTCTAGCAGCCCTTCTTCGATAAGAATGGGGAGCAAAATGGTGTGCGGAGCGCAGTTGGTCCAGTGGGAGAATTCCCGCATCACAATAGCGGGAGGCCCGGGTTCGATTCCCGGACTGCGCATACTTTTCCGTGGTGCATCTTGCGATCCCGCTGGCGGCTCTCCTGTTCCACCGCTGTTTCTGCGCAAGAGGTCACCACAGTCATTTTTGTGGTTTGATCGGCCTCGTGTTGCGCTCCGGGTTCTCCTCCTTCATCGCCCTGCGGTGCTTCCTTCGCCGTCCTTGGCACCTGTGACTGTCCCGTGACGGTTTGTTCCGAAGCCTGACTGCCCTGGGAGGTCCTCCCGCCACCAGCATGCACTCCACCTGCTGCCTGCTGAGATGCGTCGGAGCGTGGGGATGTTGTGTCTGCAGCGTGCCCTCCGCCCAAAGACTTCGGTCCACTTGCACGCATCCAAGCAGCAGACGCGCTGCCAGTGCCGGACGGATTGCAAGTGTTACTTCGCAGTGGGTCGCTGCTGGATTGGTCCTGCCTCGTCGGAGCAGTGAGTGGTCCTCCCGAGGTGGGACTATGGCCCTCACCCGCGGTGTTTCCTCCACCTCCCTCGTCTTCCTGATTGCTATTGTCCTCAGAGTTCACATTCCCCTTTCGTCCAGAGCCACCGGCCACAGTCCACCTTTTGCAGCCAATGCAGCCAGCGTCAGCTCCGCGCAGTCACCGCGCCATCACCCGCGGCCGCACACGCACCCCTTCGCAGCAGCCGTCACTCACACGCACGAGCAGCTGCGGAGCCAACCTGCAAAAGCATAGAAAACAAAAGGAGACACAGCCGCTGCACCACGCACAGCAACAAATGGCAGCACCCCAGCAGCAGCAGCGCATACACCACGAGACAGATGGAATCAGTACGATTGCAGAGCTCGCACAACGCACCGCAAACCACAAGTTTAAAAAGCAAAAAAAAAAAAGCAATAATTAAAAAACATAATTAAAAAAAAAAAAGAAAAACAAACCCAGGGCTCCAGTGCGCATACTTATGAGTGTGTCCACGATGCGTTCAATGTGAACGAATGCGGGGCACAACGCGGAGCACACAGCACGGCAGCAGAAGCAAGTGAAGCAAAACACAATTATTATTTCCTCTTATTTAGTACAGTGAACCACAACACACGCGCACAAATCCCCGCGGTTGGGTGCTGGCACGCACAGCCCTCATACAATTCTTCAGCCCAGAGCGGTGTACGCCAGCGCGGATGCGGCGAGCAGCAGCGGGGCACACACCCACGCAGAGCTGCTGAGGCTGCCTTCGATTTCGCGAAGACGTGACGGTGCGCGGGTGGTCGTCGTGGTTGGCGCCTCTGTAGTCATGGCCGTATTACTTGGTGCCTCTGTGGTTGTAGTACTGGTGGTGGTGGTGGTACTTGGTGTTTTTGTTGTAGTCGTCGTGATCGTCGCGGCAGGATTTTTGGCTTCCTCAGTTGCTTTTTCTGCAACCTTACTCGTGCGGCTTTGTGACCCTGATGTACCATCCGTACCCTCGCTCTGCAAAGTACTGGTCGCGACACTTGAATGCGAATCCGGGCCGTTCAAAGTTTGTTCATCTCTGGCAGTATCTTCCTCTTCCGAAGCGGGCACCAAACCCGACGGCCCCGCCTTACCTTTCTCCTGTTCTCCTTCTGATGGAGAGGGCAATGGACTGGTGTCGGCAGGACTTTGAGTCTTAGGCTTAGTCTCAGATGTAGTGGACGGCAGGCTGGCGCCGTTTCCCTCAATTTGAGGTTCATTCAGGGTAATGTCTGTGGCGCACACGGAAGGGCAGCAGCACAGGGCAAGCACCAGCAGGGCGCACAGCAGACGGCACGTCGTCATCATCGTGAGTGTGGTCGTTCAGTGGTGTGGAGCTGATCTGCACAGTGAGGGACATGGAGAGCAACAGGGGAGACGAGAGGTGCGGCAGACACACAAAGAGGGTACACCACATGAGGAGAGGGCAGCAGCCAGGCATGCACCGTACGCCGCACACCACGCACGACACACACTCCAATCCACGGCAGCAGGCACACACACACACACAGAGCTGCCGCAACACCAACACACAGATGGAAGAGGAGAAGCAAACAGGAGCGGCACACAAGGCTCCACCGCATTTACATGCGGCGAGAGCGGTCCGTCGCGTCGGCACCCCTCACGGAGCGCACACACACACACAAGAGGAGGTGCAGCGCACACAACAACACAAGCAAAACAGTAAAAAAAACGAAAAACGAAACGTGGGACGGCCAGCGCACATACTCTCATTGCTCCCGTAAAGCAAAACACACACACACAGGGAGAGAGAGAGAGGTCGCCCACTCAATGCAATGGAAACAAAACAGAAACAGTTACGGTGCTCCGCCCATGCAGCCAGGCAGGACGGCAGCGGTGCGTGTCGTGCAAAAGAGAGCACCAACGGGCCTGCATGGGTGTGCATGCATATATACAATGGGCACATTATGTGTGTGCCTCGTGGGATGAGGTGAGAGCGAGAGTCCATGCAAGGGGACACACACAGAGAGTGGGTGAAAGACGAGTGTGTGTGCGGGCGGTGCATAGGCTCTCTCTCACTCACTCTCACGCGGCCACCATCGCAGCAGCAGCCGCACACGCAAGAAAAAGAAGAAGCAAAAGAGGGGAGGTGGTGTGGTAGACTGCGGTGCTGCCGTCACTGTCGCCAGGCGTCGCCGTATCATTTGTTGGGACGGTGCTGAATGTTAGTGCTGTTTGTGGTTTTGTATTATTGGCTGTAGGAGCAGGATTCGTATTATCAGGTCCAGGGTGTTTGTGTGTTTCTTTGTGATTAGTCCGTTGAGCGTTGTCACCATCCTTACTCACTTCATTCTGCGCATCAGCACCGCCACTTGTAGAGATGGGTGAAGCTGTTGTTTCCTCTGAGCCGCTGGCAACTGCGTCCTTCACCGAATCCAATGTTGTTGTGCCCTTAGTGTTGTGCTCTGCTGCGTCACCCTTTGAAGGCTTTTCTTGTCCCACAAGCTCCTTTTGGGTTTCTGACGGTGACGTTTGTTTTTTTTTCTCTGTTGAAATTTGCAATTCTCTTGTTGCTGGGATTCCTTCTGTGGAATTTGTCGGTGACGGTGATGGTGGTGGTGATGGTGCTTCTTCGGAGTCTCTTTCTTCCTTTTGCCGAGTATGCGAGTCTGTTGTTGGTTGTTCTTGTTGAACTGGTTGCAATGGTGTTGGTTGTTGGTTGCTGGGAGTTCCTCCCGTCACTGCGGCCCTATGCTCGATCTCCCTTCCGGTTTCATCACCATTAACAATTTGATTCCCTGCTGCGTGCGGTTTAATAGAGGACTGAGTTTCTGCATTTGTTATTGACACCTCTTGTCTATCCAAGTTGGTTTGTGCGGGTGCTGGAGGTCGTGCTGATTGTGACTTAACACCTGTTTCTGGAGCATCCATGCTCAGGGTGGATGTCGTACCTTTGCTGCCCTGCAAACCATCAGCACCAACGGGATTACTCGGTGAAGGCGTAGCGGCAGAAAAAGAATCAGACACCAAAGAATTAACAACACCTCCAGAAGAACTTCCACTGGCGCCAGCAACACCAACAACAAAAGCGTTATTGTCAGCTCCACCACTTTGACCAGCACCACCAGAACCGCCAGAAACACCTTGACTGCCACCAGACACAGGAGGTGATAGGGGCTTTAAATCGGGATTACTGAAGTTCTTTTCAGACTCTTCCTCGCTAGTCGGAACTCCAGCGGCAGTGACGGGCAACGTTGATCGCAATGGCAGCGCGAGCACAGTTTTAGCACATCCGCTGGGCATATGGAACCCATTCTCACCCAACACACCCGACCCCATGCAGCCACCCACTGCGTTGTTGTCAAGCTCCTTCGCATAAACCCATCCGGCACCGCACCACAGCACGCAGAGGGCACACACCAGCAGCACACGGCCAGTCATCATCATCGACATCACTCCTGTCACTTGCGTGCAGCCTTCAGCACAAACTAAGAACACGTCAACGCAGAGCGGAAGGAAAGAAAGAGAGACAATTCACACAGCCACGAACCGTCACCGCACAAGAAAAAATAGTAAAACAACGAAAGTGCAAAAAAACGCACAACGCCCTAAAATATTTTAACAAAAAGAAAAACACACAAAACAATTAAAAAAAAAAAACCAAACAACTAGCAATAAAGCAAAACAGTAAAAACACAAAAAACAGAGAGCTGCAAAGAATGGCTCCACCGTACATGCACCAGCACACAGAAATGCGTCCACGCAAACATTTGTGTGCGTGTCGTGCATATGAGTGTGTCTGGGATGCGTTCAACGTGACGGATACAGGGAGCAGCAACGTGGGGCACACAGCACGGCAGCAGAAGCAAGTGAAGCAAAACACAATCATTATTTTCTCTTATTTATTTACATCGGACCACAGTGGACGCGCACAAATTCCCGTGGTTCAGTGCTGGCACGCACAGCCCGCATACACACCTCTTCAGCCCAGAGTGGTGTACGCCAGCGCGGATGCGGCGAGCAGCAGCGGGGCACACACCCACGCAGAGCTGCTGAGGCTGCCGTCGATTTCGCGAAGATGTGACGGTGCGCGGGTAGTCGTCGTGGTTGGCGTCTCTGTGGTTGTAGTAGTTGGTGCCACTGGCGCAGTGGTGGACGTAATTGGCACTTTTGTGGTGGTGGTGGTCGTCGTGGTCGTCTGGGCAGAATCTTTGGCTTCCTCAGTTGCTTGTTCTGCAGCTACACTCGTGCGGCTTTGTGTCCTTGATGTACCATCCGTACCCTCGCTCTGCAAAGTACTGGTCGCGACACTTGAATGCGAATCCGGGCCGTTCAAAGTTTGTTCATCTCTGGCAGTATCTTCCTGTTCCGAAGCGGTCACCATACCTGACGGCCCCGCCTTACCTTTCTCCTGTTCTCCCTCTGATGGAGAGGAAGGGAGAGTGGTGACGGTTACATTTGTGTCATCCTCAGGCTTAGTGTCAACGACTGGTGTTGTTGCTGTAATGAGAGTGTTCTTCGAAAGGCCTTCAGACGTAATCTGCTTGTTACTCTCTGATGTCACTGTTGTAGTTGCCGTCATCGTCTGGGAAGAAACTTGAGTCGGCGCATCCTGTGCAGCGTACACGTACGGGCAGCAGCACAGGGCGAGCACCAACAGGGCGCACAGCAGACGGCACGTCGTCATCATCGTGAGTGTGGTCGTTCAGTGGTGTGGAGCTGATCTGCACAGTGAGGGACATGGAGAGCAACAGGGGAGACGAGAGGTGCGGCAGACACACACAGAGGGCACACCACATGAGGAGAGGGCAGCAGCCAGGCATGCACCGTACGCCGCACACCAGACACGACACACACTCCAATCCACGACAGCACACACACACACACACACAGCCCTGCCGCAACACCAACACAAAGATGGAAGAGGGAGAAGCAAACAGGAGCGGCACACAAGGCTCCACCGCATGCACATACGGCGAGAGCGGTCCGTCGTGTCTGCACCCCTCACGGAGGGTACACACACACACGAGAATAGGTGCAGCGCACACAGCAACACAAAAGCAAAGTAACAATTAAAAAAGGAATGATCCCCGCACACCACGTGGATTGTTGGTCCACGGGAAGCGCAGCCAACATTCATCACAAAAATAATTCAGTTGCCTTTTGGCCGTCGTTCATATTCAGCGCACACAACTACATGCAGGCACAGTCGCCACCGCAGCAGCAGCACACACACGCAAAAATAAGACACAAAGGATGGGAGGTGGTGTGGAAGACCGTGGTGCTGCTGTCGCTGTCGGCGGTGGTCGCTGTTCCTTTGTCATTGTTGGTGACTGATGTTGTTGTTAATTCTTCCGGCTGTTTGACTGGGAGTGATGTTAAAAAACAATTGTTTCCCTGGCAGTAATTTGATTCCTCTCCTGTCCCGTCGATTTCTGTGCTCGCCGGTGGTGTGGTTGGTAGCTGGAGTCGGCGAGACTCTGACAGGGCTGCCAGCACCATCTGACTGAAATTGGTCTGCTGTGTTCTCGTCCCCAGTCCCACTGCACCAGCTGCTGGGGGCGGTGCAGCGGTCATGCCAGAAGCACCATCAATGGGCTGGGTGTCGGCCGCATCAATCAATGGGTGTGTGCCCGCAATCGACAGGAACTTGCATCGACAGGGAGTTCTGCACCGACGCTCGGGGTGGGGGAACAATGGCGCCAAGCGAAACAGCGCATGCCACCCCGGAAAATCCGCAAGGCGTATTGGCGCGGGCTGCGTTACTGCCGTGGCAAAGGAAATGAATGACGGTGCGAGTGGCGTTCTCGTCGTACGTCCCCTCCGGCCAATCCTTGCAGTAAAGCATTGCCTGAGTACATTGGATTACGCCTAAGAGAGCAATTAAAAATGTTCTTTCCTCTGCATGTATTGTACTCGCATGTGGCCACGGCCGCCGGCAATGCCTCCAGCGGATACACCTGCGATGCACGGTCAACACAATCCACATCCACTCGTTGTGCGCCATCCAACACCATCTTTTCCTTGGAGCTATGAACAACACCGGGCACACACTCCTTTTCGGCCGTCCACGGCATGCGCCTGCGGTGAGAATCCGGAGAAATTCCCATTCCTTTTGTGCAAAAAGTCATGGAGCTGACGCCGTTAAGCGCGTCCCGGCGAGGGCAACAACAGCCCGCCGCAGCACTCACGAATGCCCACCCGTTGCCTCCTGTGCAAAAAAAAAAAAGACAATGGAGGGAAAAGCCTGCACAAATGCCCTGGCAAGAAAGGCCAGCACCAGTGGATGAACACTGAAGCCGTGGGTGCATGCTCCACAAATGTCCTTCCTTTTTAAGCCGCCTTCTTAGTTGCATGGAAATGACCCGCAACCGCACACGTGAGAATAAAAAAGCAAAAGGCGAGCAGTGCAGCCGTTAAAACACACACACGCGTATCGTATGAAGCGCTTTATGGAGAGGAACGGAATGCAGGAAGAAGCGCACACAATCCCAATGGACACCCGCAATCGTGTGTGGTTGCATATTTCCCACTCTTTGGCCCTCGATGCGTTCCTGTGCGTGTCTCGCCCGTGAGTCACAGAGCCGTAGAGTGCCAAGCCCCTGCACAAACACACCTCAGGACGCGACAGCGAGGTTTCCCCAATGACCACCTCACGGCCATACCCTTTGGATATCTCATGGACCGAGCGCCTCCCGCTGCAGGCCACACCACCCAATACAAGCAGCACAATGCGCTGAGGAGTTGTGAGGGCAATCGTCCCACCACCGCCACCCAGATCAGGATGATTCTCCCATTTGCCACCACACTCTTGAAATGGCTCGGCGTTTTTCCCTCATGCTCCACTGCTTTGACCACAACTCGCGCCATTTGGCCTCATCGCATGATCGCGCTCCATCGATGCCAACGACAGCCCAACCCGCAGCGTCTTATTCCTGCCTGCCGTACCAGTAAGCAGGCATGCTTCAGAAACGGATCCTCGTCCGTTGCAGCGTTGCTCGCAGAGGCACTCGTGCTCCGTCCGCCCTGCACCGACGCCGTGCTGTATTGTTGCACGCTCCCGGCCCTCCTCGTCACATGCTCAAGGTTCGCAAACAAATGGGCGTCGGGCGTCAGTCCACCCTCTCGGATCAGCTGCTGCTTCCTGGCCTCCGTCAACTCGTCGGTGCTGCTCGCAGTCAAAAGCAACAGGAGAAGACACAGTCACACAGGCCGGGGCGTTGCGGTATCCCTCGTCAGGCGCCGCACGCCATCCAGATTTTTCCTGAGGGGTTTGTGCCCAACGGCGATGTCTTGTTCCACCTCCCACACCTCCGCCAGTCGCTTCTCCCGGTACTGTGCCACAAGCCTCGCGCAAATATCGATGTGCAGCGACAGTCTGGCTTGCCTCTCCCGAAACTCCGGCGAAGCCCGCACCGCACTGCTCAACCTCACAAGCTTGGCCTTCGGCTCCACGCCCTGCGCCAATCCCGGGTGATACGCGTGGAGTTTTTTCAGCGTCACCGAAGGCTCCTCCACGCACTGCGCAAGAAAACAATGACGGTACGAGCGCCGGCACACATCTTCCTCATCCAATTACTGCCGCTTCGAGTCTGCCCCAGACAATTCTTACAGGTCTGCTCATACACTTTCTTCCCCAGCGGCATCAGCTCATCAAGCAGACACTGACATGTGCGTTGGTGCATCAGCGGCATCACCGTGACAAAGCCCCAATCAACGATGATCCGCACCGGGTTGCCGCGGCTGTCGGCGCCCCTAAGTGAAATCCGGCTCGTCGTGGTATTGCCTGGCGAGCCCTCAAAGAAGGTCCCGGCAAACCCATGGCAGATGTTGCCCCTTTTTTGGTGGCAAATGACAGGCACACAGTTGTTCATGGCGTGAAAAACCGCCACAATAAGTGACTCCGCAACGTTCAAAACGGACTCTCAATTCGGAAGCAACAGCAGCTGAGGGAACCTATTCTGCATGCTGAGGTGGAACACCAGCACCTCAGGGGCGGCGAAATCTAAAATAATGTCCTTGAAACGCATCGCCCTCGGCGCCATCCAAGCACGCACCAGTTGCTGAGGACTGCGATGCGGGGTGCACCCCAACGCAAAGATGTGTACATCCCTGTAAGCAACATTTGCCATCCAATCCTCAACCACGCGGCTCACAGACGCATCCTCCACGGAAAAAAAGTAGCGCGCAGGGCTACTGATAATCGGCTGCCGCGGTGTCATGGGGTTCTCGAGCAGCGTCACGCCGTGTTCCATGAGATCATGAAGACGCAGTGAGCAGTTTAGCACAGCCGCAGCATGGGAATAGCAAAAAAAACTTTGGAAAATCCATGAACGGCGTCAAGCATCTGGTGGAATATATAATCCCGCACACAACCACAAACGCCATTGCTGGGCTCACACAGCTGCCCCTCTTCCGACGGCCTTGCTCGCACCAACCCGCTCTGCATAATATGTCAAGTACAAGTCACACAGACAATGTGCTTGGATATGTGTGTGTGTCTTGTGTGCGCACATTTCACTCGCACCGTTTTTTGTGTATGTGCGTCTCAGAAAACCTAACAAACACACAAGCAATGCCATACTACCATACAGCGGCCCACATCGGCAACCAACACGGGAAGAGCTATGTGCACCGGAAATACAACCAATCTCAAATAAAAAGTCAAACGGAGCGGACACAGCACATGCATATGGAGAAGGAGACCCATTGAAATGAATGTTTTTCTATTGAGCTTCCAATGCTGAGTGCAGGCCACGCAGGAGGAAGCGCAGTCGCCTCGCAGCGCAACGCCGACCACACCTCAACTCGATGGAGTGTTGCCACGGCGGCAGCAGAGGCAAGCAGAAGAAGCAGCGGACAGGGACAAGCAGCAGCAGTGTCATCACCGGGAGTCGGAGGCATGCCCTGCCTGCCGTCCGTCTTGCTGCTTCGGTCCCTGCCGCCGAGAGAAGCTTCTTGCGGTCTGTCAGGGCATCCTGGCCGGATCCACTTCTCCTCTGTCAACGGATTCTTATGAGGAGCAGCCGTGTCTACATCCTTCGGTGGTGTGCCGCGGTCGGTCTCAATGCTCTCCGCAACGGGGACGGATGCCCCTGGCAATCCTTGTTCAGTATATGCCGGTGAAACCGTCCTGCTCCACACCCTCTCCTCGCCGTCCCACGGAACCACTGGAAGTAGGCTGCCGCTGGTGGCGGATATCGTGCACACCTGCGCGTGGTCACGGCAAATAACGTTTCCCCTCATCGTAGGGTGGAGTGGCCCACGCAACCGTCGCCCCGTCCGTGCATGGAACACAACGGACGTTACCCTTTTCAGTCACTTCCAGATGTACCTGCATGCCGAGGCACCTCAATGCCGCATGCAAGGCAGCACTGAAATATGTCTCCTCCGGGTTCCTCGCATCCGTCGTGTTGTTGGGAAGCGTGTCCAGACACCACGAAGAGGGCTCATCTCCAGGCATCGCAGAGAAATATTCTCCCCTCCCAAATAACACCCTCAATATCCCTCACATCCAGTGCGGGATCAGTGATGGCGCAACTGTCCATCGGGCGTTTGGCTGACATCTCATGGATGCTCCCCAAATACCAACCGCGGGAATAACGATCCGACGCGCAGCGTTTGACAGGGACACCCACGTCGCAGACCATGTAGCAATATTCACTCATGTTCAGTGCGGAGCGCTTCTTCTGCAGCAGCTCACAGCCCGACTTCGTGCACCAACGCATCGGCTCCGCCATCTCCCACTTCACCTTCATGCAGCCCAAGGCAGCCGATGCAGCAGCGTCAGCTCCGTGCAGTCGCCGGTACCCACAATCGCTGCCATCCACTCATCCCTCGCGTGGCGCTGCGATAAGTGCGACTCCAGCGTCCTCCCGTCCCATCGCCATCCTGCAGCTCCATGCCATCAATGTCGTCGCAGTCGTGGTGCTCCCTCGCTGCCATCGCGGCATTCGTCGAGCGCACCATCACCAACAGCGCCCTGACACGCACACCGGCAACATGCCTCACCATGCTGCGGCCTGCCATGTGCGGGCAGGTGAACCCGACAGCATGGGCCATCAGGTGCGCGGCGATGCGGGTGGCGATGCGTCCGTGAAATGAAACTAACAGGCAATGCTCATGGCGCCAGCGACTGGACGGCCATCCTCCAGCGTGACGCACCGCAGTGCCTACACACCACCCAGCGCAGCAGCCACGCACAGCACCATGTCAGAATTGGGAACACCAGTGGAACGATGCTCAGCAGTCGCCGTGAACCGACTGCAAACGCTGCCCGTGGCAGATGGGGGCACAATCAACGGACCCTCCAGTGGCTGGACGAGCAGACGATCCTCATGCGGTTTGACAGCAGCAGGGACAGTATCCTCGGCAACGAGGTTACCGTGTGCAGAGGAAGGAACAACATCCTCACAGTGGCGATTGTCATTCAATGAATTCATTGCGTGAGACCAGGAGAAGACGCAGTGCCTCCTGCTGTCACACGGGTTCGTTTTTGACGTCTTAATGCGGACGGGCACCCATGGGTCCTTCCAAACGCCGCTGCACACCTGCAATGCGTCCAGCGCCCTGAGATGCATTCTCCCCACCGTAAACGAGACAAACCTCGCTGTGGGAGCGCACCACATCGTCAATAAATAAGGAATACTTCAGGGTAAAAGCAAGACGTCCGCTAGCAAACCACATCGCACAGATCATCAATAGCAGCACCAGCAGCAATGCAGACCGTGGGGTTAAAGTGGATCAACGGAAACACGCCATAAGCCAAAGACAATCTTAATGGCTTGACAAGAATACAAGAGACTGACAATCTCTCAACAAGAAACAAAAAAATAGAAAAAAGAAAAAAAATTCAAGTGTCCGCAGTCAAAGCAACCTAATAATCCACAAAAAAAGGTAATGGGTGCACTCAACCACAACACAAGTAAAACAATAAAAGAGAACAAGAAAAAAAAGCCGAGGAGTGGGACGACCAGCGCACACACTCTCATTGCTCCCGTAAAGCAAAACACACACACAGGGAGAGAGAGAGAGAGAGAGAGGTCGCCCACTCAATGCAATAGAAACAAAACAGAAACAGTCACGGTGCTCCGCCCATGCAGCCAGGCAGGACGGCAGCGGTGCGTGTCGTGCAAAAGAGAGCACCAACGGGCCTGCATGGGTGTGCATGCATATATACAATGGGCACATTATGTGTGTGCTGCGTTGGGATGAGGTGAGGGCGAGAGTCCATGCAAGGGGACACACACAGAGAGTGAGTGAAAGACGAGTGTGTGTGCGGGCGGTGCATGGCTCTCTCTCACTCACTCTCACGCGGCCACCACCGCAGCCGCAGCCGCACACGCAACAAAAAGAA